ATGTTATAGTATTTAAATGTATGCCTGAGAAACACATGATAATGCCCCTTTAATTATTTATTACTATTATTTATTTACCGTTATTTTACCAGGCAAGTCCCTGTAAATATTATTCTTGTCAAAAATTAAACAAGCTGGTATAATGAAATAAACGTGCACAAATGGCGGGCTTTTTTTTAAAATATTGTCTTTAAGCTAACTTTGTTTTTTTATGACATTTATAATATTAATAGTTTGATGTTTTGCTAATTTCAATCTAGTTTTGCTTCTGTTTAGCTTCGTCACAGTTGTTAGGCGACAGGAGACACACCAGGGTAAGGCTGCGAATAGACCGTCCAAATTCACAGACACTTTTTTCCGGTCTTCGCGGTCGACCAAGACCCGGCCCACCTAGAACGGGTAGACCAGGTCCTTCGAAGGACCCAGCTCCTGAATTTGGACACAGCCAGAGTCTGTGTTTGGTCAAGTCATTAGCTGTGGCGGCCATCTTGAATTGTGTTGACTCTACTTCATGCATCCAGTGATGACTTTCTGAGACATTTCTGTTCATTACAAATGGAGATATTTTTGCTAATACACATATAAAATCACAATTGACTTTTTGTCTTTTGAACAGCCAGCAATAAAATCTCACAACACGGTGTAAGAAAAATACGTATTCAATAAACTGAAGTCGAATTTAAAACCACCATTGTTAAATAAAATGTTTTGTAGAAGGAATCAAACCAAACAACACCAGAATTCAGGAACCGAGTGAGGTTTATTGCCACTCGAGCTGACAGGAAACCACACTGGCGAAAAACCAGGAAGTTCATCAATTTATACAGGATTCTTCAAYGCCTGCGTTCGCCCCCTACTGACCTACRGCTGAATCACAGGCATTCAGACAAAAACCTCATCCACTGTTATCATAACGTTTTAATTATGTGTTGTTATAATTCGGACATGTAACTAATCTATTATCAATCAAAACATAATAGATTAAACACTGTCAACATTATAAAAAGGAAAACCTAAGAATATAGTGTTRTGCTTCTAACATCAGTACTAACCTCTAATAACTATATATTTCTTCAACGRGCAAATGCATGGATTCAAATAGGTCACTAAGTTTTTATTGATGATGTGACAGAAGAGGGGAGCAGCAGATAAACTCTGAGGTGCACTGAGATGAAWGTCTGCTCTGATTCAGCCAAAAGGCAGCTGAAGTTGTGAGGACCATGTGCCGGACGGGGCAGTGTTATGAAAACCACTCAGGAGGAGTGAAACTTCTGTGGTCATTACGTCATCCACCCCCACCCCCCACC